AAAAAAAAAAAAAAAAAAAAGCTACTATTTTCATGTAAAACTTCAAATGTTTCCCTCAGGACATCAGACACAAACAGCAGCCTCTTATCTACCCATAATGATATTCTTCCATTACAATACCAAGTGTGCAACAAAATATTTTTGTCAGTTAGTGGCATTCCCTCTTTAAGATAACATTTAATACTACTGTAAGAAGTAATACTTAAGACTAGTTTTAAAAAAATCTGTTTATTTTAAATAAAAAAAAATATTTCCTTTTTATGGACCTTTCCTTCTCTTCTTTGCCCTTAAGGGAAACTATAGCTGCTAAAACTCTCAACTTGGAAACTCATGGAAGTTTCACTACCTGATGCTTCTTTCAGTTTGGTGGTGGTTGTGGGAGGGAGGGGAAAGGGATACAGAAAAAAAGTATTGATAAGATGACTAGATTTGAGCTCTACAGTATCGTTAAATCTCAAAAATACCCAAAATGCTGAAAACAAAAATGCAACCAGAGGCATGAGACAGATGGGCACGTACGGCATCCTGAGAGTCCTCTCGGGCTCTGAGGCCCCCCGCCCTCTGGCACCTCTGCGATGGCCACCCAGATGGAGCCCATGGTTCCGGGCTCTACACAGACGGAGCCCCTGGCTCTCAGCTGTGGGGGCTGCCTGTCGCTTTTTCAGGCTCTGGGGCCCAGGAGCATGGCCACCTCCCCTTGTGGGGTCTGCTCCCTTTTGGGGTCTCTGGCGCGCCAGCTGGAGGAGCTCCAGGCCACAGTTCAGAGACTGCTTGCCATCAGGGACTGTGAGCAGGAGATTGACTCCTACTGCTAGGCCCTTCTCCCCCGGGAGCCGGAGATTCATAGATTCATAGATTAAGGGTCGAAAGGGACCTAGTAGATCTTCTAGCCCGACCCCCCGCCAGGGCGGGAGAACAACAGAAAAACCCCAAAAAGAGAAACGGGACTCAAATGAGTCCAGCCAGGTAGGCATCCAGCCTCTTCTTAAAGACCCCCAGGGTAGGGGCCAGCACCACTTCCCTTGGAAGTTGGTTCCAGCTCCTAGCCGCCCTAACTGT